AGAATCTGATCCAAGCCAAACAAAGGTCCAAGCGATATTACGACGCAAGACTAAAGAATCAGGAATACCTTCCTAGTGATTGGGAACCCACTAGCAAACTAGACGACCAATATACTGGACCGTACCAGATTCTGGAAGTCCTACCTCCGTGTAATCTAAAGCTAAGAATTAAGAACAATGATAAGATAGTTCACCAAAACAAATGTAAAATTGCGAAATAAGCTTATCTTCCATAGGATGAACTTTTTCGTCACCCTCATCTTTGCATCTACAGTGCTCTATGCCACGGAAGCCCTCATAGGCTTCGACTGCGACGGACCTACGATGAATCACACCACAGTGCTACTACTGGACTTAGAGGAATATTATCCCCCGGGTCCAGAACTCAAAACTACAGCCATCTATGTGCAATTGCTCCAGCTGTCCGAGTATGACCATACCCGGATTATGCAGTGTCAAATCAACGTTAGGCGAATTGTCAACTAATGTGGGATGCACTCCCACTTGTCAGCCGTCCAAAACGGTTTAGCCGAATACCTGCAGGAAGTCAGTTATAGTACACGAAGAAGGCACCTTGTCAATAGGAAATTCACTCATCACGGGAATCTCCCCGAATTCGACTACTCATCGTGCAGTTACCCTCGCCGAATCAGTCGGCCCCGACGGCAGCTGCGCAGGCACCACCTACTCCGACCCATACGGAACCTGGAACAACGTATTCGTGCAAGCCACCTTGGAAATCAAACTAAGAACCCAGGTGGCACGAGTCAAGATCAACACTGGTAAGGTTGTTCTTCCTTCCGGTACAATATGCGACCTCGCCAGGACATCGTGTATCGACTACGATGCCGGCTACACATTTTGGGACCCATTACCGTTTGACACATGCGAACTAAGTTCATACGACGTTCTCTACGAAGAGTTAGCTGACAAGACAGAAGAAGAATCCGCAACACATTATCCTGTCATCTATAGTCTTACTACTAGCGAAACCGCTTTCGCTTTAGCAAAAACCGGCAAGCATCACGTGTGTGGATACTCCATTATCGCTACGGAGCACCCCAGATTGTTTCTTTGTTGAAACCCTCCAAGGCAACCCTATCATCAAATGAAAACAGATACCAGCCGACAACTTAGACATATTCACGTGTGTCAATTCTAAATTTATATACGTTGAAAAGCACATCAGGAGCCAATTGACGTCGCTGTATCGCAACATCGTGATGCAGAAGTGTGAAGCGGAGAACCAAATCTTGAGAAACCCTCTCTCATTGGTCACGATGGTCCCGGAGGAATTCGCTTTTATAGTCACGAAGAAGCCAGGTTACATAGCCGTCAACGCCGGAGAAGTGATTCACATTATTCAATGCATACCTGCAGTTATCAAGATACGCAAAACCGAAGACTGTTTTAATGAGCTCCCCGTGCTACATAATAATGAGACGTATTTCCTAACTCCCAAAACAAGGATCTTAACTAGATTCGGCACAAAGCGTCAGTGTAACCCGCTCCTACCCACTGTTTACAAGGTGGACGAACAATGGATTAAACTTACCCCATCAGTAATGACCGCTGACGAACCCCAAAAGACAAGGCCCATTTTACAGTTGAACTGGAGATATCTAACGCCTACTTCATTGGCTACCAGCGGCATATACTCACAAACGGAACTGCAACGACTAAGGGATCATATAATGTTCCCAGCAGAAAAACCCGTAGTAATCAACGAGATTGTGCGCGGAGTCACATCCTCTGGCATGCCATCCAGCTCGATTTCATTCGCCATCTTCCTGGACGAACACTCCTTGGAGAAGATAACCAAATCCACGATCAACAAGATGTGGAACGGGTTCATCGAGTTTGGATCTGCAAGCGCAGCTATTCTCGCCATCTTCCTCATTTTCAAACTCATCAAAGGAGCAATTGACATCATAGTCAACGGATATACCCTGCATTCGGTGTACGGATGTGGACTTCACGTACTAGGCGCAGTATTCTCGTCTATCACGCACCTACGTGTGCATCTAAAACGGGGACCACCAGCAGCATGAGCCAACGAAGAACCGCAACCCGATCCTGAGGTCGCCGGATCTTTATCGCCATCAATTAAACTCCAAAGACTAAGAAACTATTGTACGGAGTAAGTTATAGTGCAGATCGAACACTTTTACATACAAGCGTACCTGTAAAAAATAAACTTTGGACACTGGCCCAAAATTTATTTTCCCGGGGAGGGACGTGTTACATCCTCGAGTAACTCCTCCCCCCCTCCCCCCCCAAGTGTCATTAAAATGATACCACACACGATATAATTTGAATGGGTCGAGGTTTGTTATGGGGCGCTGTGAAAAATCCAGGCGGGCGGCAGTCAAATCTTAGCGAAAAGGACAATCTCAACATTCAGAATGAGAGAAGGACAGCATGACTGTAGTGCATCTCACTCAGCGTTCGGGCGATGTTGCCTTTTTCGCTTGCCTTCGCAGCACAGTTCGAGTGACGTAATCAAGCTAACGCATGATTCTGACTACGATTCCAACTCGGCAGCCTTTCCACTTATATGCCACCTTATAACTACTAGCTGAACTAAATTTGTCACGTGACTTGCTCTGTAGTATCCAGATAATGGCGAAACTCGTCTTTGGGAATGCTTTTACGGGAATCGGTTATTCGTCCTTATATGAGAAGATCTTGAGGTGAGTAAGGGCTCATTCGAAAGAGGAAGGTTCAATGAAGGGGGCTCAACAAATCGTTTTAGTCACAAAACTTTTATAGTTACCTAAAATGTACTTGGATTCAGCGGGCGTATTTTCTCGGTTTTTCCTCTACTTTGGACACTGTAATAATTTAGATATCAACACAATCTCGTTAAACCATCGATTGAGCCCCCTGCATTGGACCTTCCTCTTTCGAATGAGCCCTCACCCAGTGTATGATCGAAACCGTTCAACCGAAGCGTTTTCGTATGTTAGATACAAGAAGGCTGGAACGAGAATGCCTGTCCTCTCGATCTCAGCTCTCCTCGAATTCGTTCCCCCTTTAGTTTCGGCTCTCGAGTTTTCTAAACATTCGAGAGCGATAAGACCGGATTGGAAATTCGGGGAACTGTCGTAATTATTTTACGTTTTGGTAGGATGTTCAGGATGAATCGAAGCTGGTTTATTAAATTACGAGTCAAGATTGATCCGGTATAAAAAGTGATAGTTTATTTTCGTATTAAACAAGGGAAAAAGCCCGAAGGCATAAAAAACCCTTGATTTTGTTATTTGAAAAAAGGAAAAAGCCCGAAGGCGTAAAAAACCCTTGATTTTGAATTGTGTGTTTTGTGTGTGAGTGTGTCGCGCGTGTTTTGAATGATTTCGTGTACACGAGGTTGGGCGCCCATCAGCGATTGACTAATCGCGTGATAACAGATTTTTCGGGAAACAGTTCCTGTTGGAGTCTCTCGTGCGAAGAGACGTCCAATTATGATGGTACGGAAACCAGGTTCCGTTGGAGTCTCTTGCGCAGAGAGACGTCCAGCCGTTGTGAAAGACGTTAAATAATATTTGGTGGTTGACGACGTGATTTCAGATGATCAGATATTGTGTTATTAAGAATTTACGTAATTACAATGAAATAAAATTGTTTAGCCCCGAATATGCGATATAAAAGTATAACTGTTTGACCGGTCGCGCCCGAGATCTGATGACGACTGACTTTCCTTTTGAACGCGATACATTTTCGTCTCCTCACACTTCTCGACGTTATCTTATTCTGCGAAGAGAACACCTCGGTGGTCCCTATCGGGCACGTTTTATAAATTGTTTAATTTATTAACGAACGCTCGAACACCCAGCCCTAAGTGTTCTCATATAAGGACAAATAACCGATTCCCGTAAACCCATTAATAGGCCCATTTTTGCCGGTAATGTCACCTCGCTGCATTACCCGTGTCTACCCCCTTAAGCCGGGTATCCACCGGGTATCAAACGCCCGTATCGTATCACCGTTCCGAACCCTTTTGAATAGGCAGGCATTGCCTCGTTGCATGCCATGGCGTGCTACGGCTCGGATAATAGTTCTTCGTTTCTTGAAAGAAACTCCTATAGGCGAGAAGTTTCGATTTGCTGCATGCTGTTTCTTTATTGTAATTGTCCAAACCATATCGTGTTTGGTATCATTTTAATTAGAAAAGCGTCACAAATATCTTGGTAACAGTTTTATAAGAAAAAAATTAAAAATAACAAAGTTCAGTCGTTGCATTAATATTATCTCACTGATATATCCGATTCCAAATCATATTATCTCGTGCCTCAAGTGTCATGTTTCCATTTGACATAGCATTTGGGGTCTTCGCCTGGGTATGTTGTTTTTACGTTTCAAGTGGTCTCTGAACCTATGCTTTGAACAGCAAGAAACCGACAACTTTCGGATCGGCCCGTTCCTTCACCTCCGTATCATAGCCCAATAGAATTTTCGATACTCGGCAACGGAAAAATCTCTGGAAAATTAACATTGTCCTTTTTCAATAATCATATAGGTGATTATTAACATTGCTCTTTTATGTACAGCGTATCACCGAAGATAATTGATCTGTTTAAATATATTTAGACGATAAAATTTATCTACATTAAATTAGATTAAGTTCATAAATAATTTCATCGATTTTGAAATGAATCCAATAATACTACAAGATTTCAAATAAATTGAAACCCAAGTGACGGTACGAAACGCTATGTCAAGTGCAAACGCATGAACCTTTCCTTCGATGGAACGGCAAAGAATCGACAAATTTTTCGGATGGGTCCGTTGCCTCCGTTCCTTTGGAACGGCACGCAGCAAAACGAAACTCCTCGCCTGTAGTGGCCCAGTCTTATTGCCTAACCGTTTCTATCAAGAAACGAAGAAATGTTGTCCGAGCCACAGCACGCCGTTGCATGCAACGAGGCAACGCCTGCCTATTCAAAAGGGTTCGAAACGGTGATACGATACGGGCGTTTGATACCGGTATATACCTGGCTTTAGGCGTCCGCATTTTTGTCTACATAAGAGTCCGTCGCTATCCCCACCAGTTCTTGGAAACAGAACCTCGGAGTGCATTTCGCGCGTACCGAGTGTTTGTCACCGGTCTTCAATTGTTATGGTAGGAGTCAAAGGCTCATGACACTACATACTGGGTGTTACAATATTTTGCACTACAGTTTTAAGAAAAAACAATGCATATTAAAAATTGTTTTATTTTCATAAACACATATTACATAATAAACATAAATAAGCAGAATAAATGATAGAGAAAATAAAAATTATTTTGTATTATAGTAATTTATTATTTCTCTTGCTTGATTTGCAATTTCAGGTACTCTAATTGTAATCATTTCCAAATAGTGGAGTAATTTATCAATTTCTTCTTGTTCTATTGGCACAGGCGAAAATTCTTCTTCCTCTTCTACAACATTTTCTCTTATTGTTTCCGTTTCTCCGCAGTGATTGATCCATTCTGTTACTTCTTCGCCAGAAATTGTTTCATATGCGGCATCGCATGAAGTAGTTGCTGACGACGAAGTGTGAAAATTGGTAAATCTTGTTTCACGGTTACAAATTTTATTCCAGGCATTAAAAATATTTGTTGCTGTGATATTGTTCCAACATTCAGATACTATATCTATGCAATCTTTTATGTCATAATCTGCGTAGAAATCTGACACTCCACCAGTATATTGCAATACTTGACGTAATAACTTGTGACGAAAATGTTTTTTAAATTTTGCTATTACGCCCTGATCCATCGGTTGGATCAGAGAAGAGGTATTGGGCGGAAGAAACATTATTTGAAAATACCCATCGTCCATTTCTTCATCTGATAATTTATGCCCACTGAAATTGTCCAGTATTAATAGAACCTTTCCGATACTGTTTTCTTGTAACTGACGTTTTCTTACGCGTGGCTTAAATTCATTCTCATACCATGATTGGAAAAGTACCCTGTTCATCCAGGAATTCTTGTGATGCATATATATTACAGGTAAATTGTTCTTACAGTTCTTTAACACTCTTGGGTTCTCATATCTATTAATAAATAGCACTGGCGATTTATGGTTTCCACTTGCATTTGCACATAAAGCTAACGTAATTCTATCTTTTTTAATTTTTTTTCCTGTTATTCGGTTTTCATTTGCACTTGCTAATGTTTTGTTTGGTAGCATCTTCCAAAATAAGCTCGTTTCATCCATGTTATATAAATTATCATCACTAATTTCATTAGTTTCCAATATTTGTGGAAATTGCTGAATAAACCTTTCTGCGGCACATTTATCGGCATCAGCACTTTCACCATGCATATTAATGAGACGTAGATCATAAGATTTTTTGAATCGCCAAAGCCAACCTCGGTTTGATGTAAAGTCTGAAGCCGATCTCGCCATCGGTTCACCGACGTGGCGTGAATGTGTTAGTGAATTTGTAGCCAACTTCACTGCGACAAGTTCAATAACTCATTGTTCACATCTGTTACAATTCGAATCATCAGCTCGAGCCGAGAAAGAGGTCCGAGAATGAAACAATACATATATTAATGTATGTGTTCCGTGACGAATACATGGGACCCTGTTTCCGAAATTTATATTTTTCTGTATTTTTTATTGCTTGAATACTATCTAACAATAGCCGTCCGTCGAGTGGCTGGCGGGTTTGTCCTCGGAGGGACATCTGGGGTGCAGACCGCTGGCACGTTTATGGTATGCAAGCCTGCGGGGTCAGTTGAGTAAATCCTTTGATTTATTTGCAGTAATTTCGTATTTTCAGCGACCTTGCAGGTACCATAGACGTGAATCTCCGAGGGGCCTTGTGACTGAACCTGATGGCCAACATCTGTGTCAGTTTCCGGGACCCAGGCCCAGCGGGGGTTCCACTCCGCGGACGGAGTTGCGCGCGATTTCGCCTACCACCTCCACTGACACCCTTACTCCGCGCGGACCGCGTTTCGGACGCTCGGGGTGGTTGGGGTCAGTAAGGCCACCATGTCATTGGTGAAAATAGTCACCAATCAGGGGATGAGGCCGACTCCCACGATTTGGAAAAGTCAAGAGGTTCTTGAAGGAGTCGGTCTCATCAGTCTGTTTTTGGATTTCATGAGGAAAACGTCTCATTCCTCAAGGGAAACGTTATCTTCCCGCGCAAATTCTGAGCTTCCAAATATTAAAACCATTTAACTGTTCAACCATTCAAACAATAATCCGTTTCTTGTCTATATAATTAAATTATCAGTTTTATCTTGACTACATTTATTACGTCAAATCAAGACACACCCTCAACTACTCCTATCACCTTAAAGGGTCGTAGGTTCGTGCGTGAATGAAGTTATCGGTGTAACATCGAACAGAGACTTACGACCTCTGTTGACCCGGCTCTCAACGCATCCTATGGTCGTAGCTTGTCGCGCACTGCACGTGAAAACATTTTTTATGGTCCTTCGAGCCGGATGTTGGTGACATGTGAATTTTACATACTCAAGCTCAGTGTTACTTCAGGCTATCCTGATACAAAACATTAACAAATCTTATTGTGAATGAATAAACGTGCACAGCCTGCACTGTTCGCAACTTTGGAAGTGAATTTTCACCGTACGCAATCGAATAACTCACGCAGTAGAGTTCCGGTTGACACATAAGATCCTGACATTTAATAAAGGATCACTCCAAGGATATTAATTCAACGTTGGACAAGGGTGCAGCTTGAGGGTGACGCAGCAATCGCCAGATCACCCACGCATCCAGGGAGTTCGGACGATCTTCAACGTGAGCGCAGCATCCACATCCAAGCAGCATCCAGAGGACAGGACACCGTGGAAATCTGCAACGACCTCGCATCGTAAAGGTAGGCTCGTTAGTTTTCGCCAAGTCCCTGTTACATACTATTCCTTATCACGATGCCTAAAGCGTTAGACCAATCCACGAGTCAATCCACTTCGCAAGGCATTAATCTCAGTACCCTGCGACGTAAACGCGGCAATATTGTTGGGCACATTACCGCATTCTCAAAGCTCCTCGATACCGCGAAAAAGTCCGAGCAACGCGATTTAGGACTTTTACGGGCACATTTAACGAATTTATACGAAATCTGGGATCGTTTCGACGCTATTCAGCTGGAACTGGAAGAGGCTGACGAAAGCGAAGTACCGCGGCGTTACCAAATCCATGGAGATTACATTGCGGTGGTCGCAAGTGCGAATGCACTCATCGAGGGAGACCGTCCTAGGATGCCCCCTCGACGCATCACCACAGACTCTTCCGCGCCCTCCGTAACGGCCCCGATGGCAATTAAATTACCAGAGATGCGATTGCCAACGTTTGATGGGAAAATCGAGAATTGGGCATCGTATTTTGAGAGTTTTTCTTCAATGATTGATCAAAATGCAGATTTATCACTTGTTCAAAAATTACAATATTTACGATCAACACTCACTGGGAAGGCCGCCGCGTGTATCCAATCGTTAAGCACAACGGATTCTAACTATGCAGATGCGATTGAATTATTAAAAGAGAAATTCGATTGTAAACGCAGAATCTTATTAAAGCATTGTAACGCGATAATCGGATTGCCGAAAATAACGCGGGATTCGCCAGAGGCATTAGGTGATCTCGTCGATACCGTTCGCCAAAATTTGCGGTCGTTAAAAAATTTAGAGGTCGACACGTCTTCTTGGGATAGCATTCTTATAGCGATCATTCTCACAAAGTTAAGCACTGAAACCGTGTATCAGTGGGAATTATCTTTAAAGGATAAGCAAATGCCGACCTTTGCGAGTTTGCTCGAATTTTTAGATAAACGCGCAAACTGCATAATCATGACTCATCAAAAGCCAGCGCAAACAGACGGACAACACAACCGCGGTCCACCAGGAAAATCGATTGTTAAACAATCTTCGCGAAGCCACGCTTTCGTGACCACGACTCGCGCGAATGAGACACAGAATTCCCGTGAGACGGTAAAACCAAGCGGGACATTCGCGAATTATCCACGATGCCCGATTTGTCAGGATGAACACGGTATTTGGCGCTGCGAAAAATTCCACGCGTTATCAGTCGGTGCACGATTGTCGGCTGTCAGGAAGGCCTCGCTGTGCTCAAACTGTTTAAGAGCCGAGCACAATCTAGAACTCTGTAAAAAGGGTTCGTGTCGCATATGCAAAAAGCACCATCATACGCTACTGCATTTACCGACGCAGGTTGTCAACCGCCCGACAACCACCCCGCCGACAAAGCTCAGCACATCGGCAGGCACATCGGCAGGCGCATCGGCAGGCACACCTGCAGACACGCAGGTAGACACTGGCGAATGACCAGAACTACCTGAGACCCCCAAAGATACGAGTCGTATAAATGTTTTCGTTGTCAACACAATAGACAATGAGCTTCTTGTTACCGCTCAAGTCTATGTAATCGACAAGGATCAACGACCCGTAAACTGTAGGACCTTGATCGATACAGGTGCAACGAACAATTTCATAACGGAAGACCTCGTGAAAAGGCTCGATATCTCGAGGAAACCATGTCATATTCCTGTGGGGGCTCTCAATACATTGTCTACGGTCGCGAAACATACAGTCACGGCTACGATTCGTTCTAAAACTAATGAATATCAGCGCACATTAACGTTCTTAATGATACCAAAGATCGCGTCATTGATTCCGGATCAACAGATTGACCGCTCGAATATTAAAATTCCGAAGAATCTCAACTTAGCAGATCCAGAATTTCACCGTCCAGCACCGATCGATCTGTTACTCGGCTCTGGAACTGCATTGTCGCTCGTAAGCGTCGGACAGATCAATCTCTCTCCTCCTGATGGACCCGACTTATATCTACAGAAGACGAGACTCGGATGGGTCATAGGGGGGAGTCCACCAAAACCAATAAAATCACGAATTGTTTCTTGCAACGCGACTACCGCGCTACAACACGACCTCGCACGCTTCTGGGAAATAGAAGAAGGTCCTCAACTACAACTTCTCTCAGAATCGGATAAATTCTGCGAGAAACATTTTCAGCAACACGTCAAGAGGAATTCCGACGGACGGTACGTGGTCGCATTGCCTTTTAATGACAAGTTGTTGTTGCTGGGAGAATCCAGAGCAAGAGCATTGAAACGCTTGGAATCTCTCGAGCGAAAGCTGCAACGAGACGCCACGTTGAGGGGGGAATATCACGCGGTCATTCAGGAGTACCTTGACCTTGGACACATGACCAAGGTCACGAACATTCAGTGCCCATCCGATGGATATTACCTGCCTCATCATGGAGTCACGAAGATCACAAGCGAGACCACGAAACTCCGCGTGGTGTTCGACGGTTCCGCGGCTACTAGCTCGGGCATCTCATTGAATGACGCGCTGCATATAGGACCACGAATACAGGAAGACTTGTACATTCTTCTACGATTTCGCGTTCACCGTTACGTGATAACCGGTGACATCGAGAAAATGTATAGGCAATTTCTCGTACGTGACGAGGATCAAAAATATCAACGCGTCCTGTGGCGTGATGCGAGCCGTGAAATTCAGACGTACGAGCTAAGGACGGTCACTTTCGGACTTTCCGCGGCACCCTACCTGGCAATCCGCTGCCTTACGCAATTGGCCCAGGATGAATGTCATCGGTTTCCTCGTGCCGCCCAGATATTGCGTCGCGACTTTTACGTGGACGACCTGTTGACTGGGGCATCTACATTGCAAGAGGCAGCGTCATTGCGGGGAGATCTGACGCAATTACTAAAATTAGCTTCCCTCAACATTCGTCAGTGGGCATCCAACCATGAAGATCTTTTGCGAAACCTCCCAGAAGAGTCTATAAACAGGAAGATTCGTATCGGGGAATCATCAACGCTGAAGACTTTAGGAATAATTTGGGATTCTGCAAATGACTCCATATCATATGAAGTCAAAACACAGATCGCAAATTCATACGTTACTAAGCGATTTATTACGTCAGAAATCGCCAAAATTTACGACCCACTGGGTCTTATCGGACCGGTCATTATTGTTGCAAAGATGCTGCTCCAAAGAATTTGGACCATCAAAGTGGATTGGGATGAATCCTTACCAATGGACATCCACACAGAATGGAAACAGTTTCATAGGCAGCTTCCTCTCTTAAATAGCACCGTTTTCCGGAGGAGAACCGTGATCGACACACCAAGCAGGATCGAATTACACGGTTTCTGCGACGCTAGTGAAAAAGCTTATGGAGCCTGCATCTACATTCGCTCATCGGATATGCATGACAATACGACCGTAGAACTTTTATTAGCCAAATCTAAAGTGGCACCATTGAAAACACAGAGTATTCCACGACTAGAACTCTGCGGAGCCTTGCTCCTAACGACATTATACAATACCGTTAAAAAAGCCCTACATGTAAAGCTCAACCGTACCATTTTCTGGACCGATTCAACAGTCGTTCTTCATTGGTTACAAACGTCACCGCATACATTAAAAACATTTGTCGCCAACCGGATTTCGGAAATTCAAGCGCGAACCAATATAGGAGATTGGCGTCACGTTCCGACAACAGACAACCCGGCAGACCTTATCTCGCGCGGGCAACATCCTGAAGAATTTTTGCAGCCTTCCATCTGGCATCACGGGCCAGAATGGCTCAAGCATGAGGAAGTCACGTGGCCAACGAGAGATCTGGTACCGTGCAACTTCATTCCGGAGCAGAGGACTGCAACCTGTTTAAAGGTCAGTCCTCTGGATACTAACATCCTTGACGATTACTCTTCGTGGGAGAAAATGCAAAGGATAGTCGCATGGTGCCTTCGGTGGAAAGGGGACAACATGATTAAGGGTCCCCTAACGCCGGTAGAATTGAGGCACGCTCGTGACGTCATTATTAAACTCCTGCAACGGATACATTTCTCCAAAGAATTGCGATGCTTATCGTCAAGTTCCAACCCTGAAATCGCGGGAAAATTACAAAGATTGTCCCCATTCGTAGATAAAGACGGGATTGTCCGAGTTGGCGGTCGGCTAAAGCATTCTTCAATGCCTTTTACACAACGTCACCCTATAATTTTGCCAAAGGCACGTGTCACAGGTCTCATCATTGAAGCCGAGCACCGAGCTCAACTGCATGCTGGGGTTCAAGGTACATTATATGCCGTTAGACGCCGTTTCTGGCCTATTGACGGTCGCAACCAGGTATGGAAGGCGTTACGCACCTGTACCCGTTGTCTCCGGGCCCGACCACCGGCCACCAATTACATTATGGGTGAATTGCCAGAAGCAAGGGTAACGGAAGCTCGGCCATTTACTAACGTAGGGGTAGATTACTGTGGCCCTTTTTACATCAAGGAACGCCGTCATCGTAATCGCACGCGAATAAAGGTTTACGTAGCGGTCTTCGTCTGCCTCGCAGTTAAGGCAGTTCATTTAGAGTTGGTGAGTGATCTTACCAGCGAAGCATTCATCGCAGCGCTCAGAAGATTCATTGCTCGACGCGGGTATTGCGTTAAAATACATTCAGATAACGGAACCAATTTCGTTGGAGCAAATAACGAAATACAGGAAATTCAACGACTCATCAGATCGGACGAACATAATACAAAGGTACAAAACTTTCTCGCACAACGGTCAATAGAGTGGAGCTTCATACCACCACGCGCACCACATTTTGGGGGTTTATGGGAAGCAGCTGTAAAGTCCTTCAAAAACCATCTCCTTCGCGTCGCGGGTACTGAGCTATTCACTTTCGAGGATTTTAATACCTTGATTATTGAAATTGAGTCAATTTTAAATTCCCGACCATTAACACCCATGTCTTCAGACCCTAATGACCTCCTAGTGTTAACACCCGGTCATTTCCTGATTGGCGATTCGCTTACGAGTCTACGTGAGCGAGACTACTTAGACACGCCTCCAAATCGTCTTTCGAGCTGGCAGTTCATTCAGAGGATCAAGCAGCACTTTTGGACTCGTTGGCATCGCGAGTATTTAAATGAGCTCACAAGACGTACCAAATGGAGCAAAGGAGAACATCCCATCAAAGAGGGCACGTTAGTCCTTCTTAGGGAAGACAATGTACCTCCCATGCAATGGGCCTTGGGTAGGGTGCTCAGAACGTACCCGGGTTCCGACGGCATCATTCGCACCGTGACAATTAAAACGGCTGCGAGTGAGCTAGATCGGAGCGTGAAGCGTCTGGTACCCTTGCCTTATCAGGTCGAAGAAAGAAGCAACGAGCCGGAAGAGCCAGCATCGACAGCGAATGTCAATCCAATCGATGATTGAATTCATTGGACTTTATTATATATTTTGATATTCTTTACATTTAAACATATATTAATCAATTGCATACGTGAATATATATATTATTAGGTTATATAATCATTAGCATTTAAACTTCATAGAATTAATTAATAAGTCATTTAGTATTTTGTAGCTTAAGTAGCAAACAGGCTCATATTATCACGTATATCTTGATCGGTATCCAATCAACGGGGGGAGGATGTTCCGTGACGAATACATGGGACCCTGTTTCCGAAATTTATATTTTTCTGTATTTTTTATTGCTTGAATACTATCTAACAATAGCCGTCCGTCGAGTGGCTGGCGGGTTTGTCCTCGGAGGGACATCTGGGGTGCAGACCGCTGGCACGTTTATGGTATGCAAGCCTGCGGGGTCAGTTGAGTAAATCCTTTGATTTATTTGCAGTAATTTCGTATTTTCAGCGACCTTGCAGGTACCATAGACGTGAATCTCCGAGGGGCCTTGTGACTGAACCTGATGGCCAACATCTGTGTCAGTTTCCGGGACCCAGGCCCAGCGGGGGTTCCACTCCGCGGACGGAGTTGCGCGCGATTTCGCCTACCACCTCCACTGACACCCTTACTCCGCGCGGACCGCGTTTCGGACGCTCGGGGTGGTTGGGGTCAGTAAGGCCACCATGTCATTGGTGAAAATAGTCACCAATCAGGGGATGAGGCCGACTCCCACGATTTGGAAAAGTCAAGAGGTTCTTGAAGGAGTCGGTCTCATCAGTCTGTTTTTGGATTTCATGAGGAAAACGTCTCATTCCTCAAGGGAAACGTTATCTTCCCGCGCAAATTCTGAGCTTCCAAATATTAAAACCATTTAACTGTTCAACCATTCAAACAATAATCCGTTTCTTGTCTATATAATTAAATTATCAGTTTTATCTTGACTACATTTATTACGTCAAATCAAGACACACCCTCAACTACTCCTATCACCTTAAAGGGTCGTAGGTTCGTGCGTGAATGAAGTTATCGGTGTAACATCGAACAGAGACTTACGACCTCTGTTGACCCGGCTCTCAACGCATCCTATGGTCGTAGCTTGTCGCGCACTGCACGTGAAAACAGTATGCAACCATAAAACTGTTTAATTCATATTTATAATCATGTTTTTTTAACAATGCAATTAGAGATATGCCAGAAAAATGAATTATAAAACTTGCATATTTCGCAATATTTTACAAAATAATACACATAATGTACGCAACCATAAAACTTATAAGAATGAAAACTACAGGACATTAATAATTTCAAGAAGGTATGACTAACTCTTACAGTAATTCTAAACGCGTCTATAAATAGAAAACAAATAATCGGCGGCCGATGTTCACCGGTGACAGCTGATCGCGCGGACGGCGTAATGCGTACGAGTGCGAGTGAGAAAGCAAGATGACGATACCGATAAGTTAGAGACAGATAAGTTAGTATGTTTTTTCAGCATAGAATGTGATATTATGTTGGATTCTCCTGATTTTGCGTTAGGCTCAAATATTGGATGATTAGGTAACGAAAATGTGATGCTGGAAGAACAACACGGCTGGAGCGAGTTCTTCAATGTTGGCGAACATAGAAAAGGACAAATAGCGAAAGAGAAAGAGGTCCGAGAATTAAAGGGCCCGAGAAAAAACATTTGAGTGAAACAATATTAATTCAACAATAACTTCTTTATTTTTCATTTTTGCTAAATGAAACTTTTACCAATGTAATTGTAAGGTTCATCTGATTAAAATAAGACCAAACACCATATAATTTGCATTATTTTTACTTATTTAGATATAAATAAGTAAATAAATAATTATAATTCAAATTATGTCATGTTTGATCTTGTTTTAATCAGAAAACTTTCATAAATACGTTAATAACATTGTCATTAAAAAAAATTAAAAAATAAAAAGGTTTTAATCTTAAATTTTTATTGTGGTAGTATTGTCTCACACGTACAGGGGTATTTAAACTTGCTTTTTTCCCTGTACATACGCTGCTTCGATTCTCGGCAGTCACCACATCAAAGGCGAGCCTGTGGTTTCTCCGGCGACACGTAAAAGGTGGTCTGATTCATCGTACATAATGCATATACAGTAAAAGCTGGATATATGCAACAAAAGTTTGGCTGGATATATGCACCATCGCTATCCCCTCCACTTGGGGGGATCCCCCTTAGCCGAACCGAGACTCTCGGCGAGGAAACCGTGTAATATGATCCGACCGTAATATCGGTGTGACTAATACTAATTGAACGATAAAATTTTTTTATTTTTAACTTTTTCTTAATGAAACTTTTACTAACGCATTGGTGAGAGTTTTCTGATTAAAATGACACCAAACACGATATAGTTTGAATTATATTTATTTATTTATTTATTTAGAATATGCTGCTGAACTGTTGACTGCTTAGGTGCTTTATGATGTTAGGAAAAGTCCGTGATTTCCATGAAACCGGACAGTATCTTCCTATTAAAAATTAAAGTAATTTACAAGCTAACAGTAATAACAGAATGATAATAGAATAAATAAACAATGATAATAAAATAAACAATATAGAATTGACACCTCGGCTACATATGTATAAGGCAGGCCGTACACCAAAGATACATTAAACACGCAACATGCAACATGCAACACGTCGCATGTTGTGTACGAACGTAGAATAGGTATCGCGGCACGGTACAAACGATTTGTACGGACGCAGAATCGACACCAAGACTGGATATATGCAACGTTTAAATGCCCAGAATCGGCACCTCGGCTGGATATATGCAACATTAAATGCCCAGAATCGACACCTCGGCTGGATATATGCAACGTCTGGGTCCCAATGTTTGTTGCACATATCCAGCTTCTACTGTATCGTAAACAGCGTTCGCTGCGCGGTTAGCCAGTGCTTCGCATTGTTTAGGGGTTTCCTCAGGCTAACTGCGCAAAAGCGTAAAGATCAATTTATCTCTGAAATTATAACCGATACTCTCCTCTTTTTCACGCGTGGGCGCCAGTCGGACCCTAATCCGATCGTGTGCATGAGTTGAATGCTGGGATGAGAACGCGAGATGAACTAGCGTATTGAATATTTGTGTGAACGCGAGAGCGAGGAATGAGAACCCTTGCAAGCAAACGTTAGCAAGCGTTCGAGGACTGTTTAGAGGCGAAGGGTCGAACAGAGCAGTAAAAGTCTTTGTATCAAATTCCGAGAATTTGCCTGAAACCGAAACCTAACGGTAATTTTTGAATAGCAAGAACGTTCTCGAACCAACTATGTTACAAATGTAATAACGAATATTCAATTTAATAAGTAAAGACTAGAAGATATTCAAAATTGCAATCGAACACCAAATGCCTTACAACGTGTGTACCAGTGCAATTCGTGTTGCGAACCGACATCTACGAACAAATAATTATGGTCAAGCCAATTGTTAAATAGAGAGCTTCGTGATCGCCAACCCGTTATTCATTTATAAAAATCTAACAATTATTCATAATTAACCGCATATTTATTGCTCAGTAAGACTGATTTAAACTGTTAATAGGCATTCGCATCATTTTATAGCTAATATACGAAATTATCGAAAACCATGGAACATTCCAGAAATTCTACGGCGTAGAAACACCAAAAAGCCGTTAGACAGAGATGGAACACCAAGAGAGAGAGAAAGCATGATCTAGAGGAATTTAGCTAGCACGCGCCTTCAACCAATAGCGACGCACGCGACGCTGTCGTCACGCGCTATGATTTGCCGAAATGTCCCCACGCAGGACATCGTCCTCGCGACGGGTCCTTACGGCTAGGATCGCGATCGATTCCGATCACTCTTCGTCGAACAATCGAGTAAGTCGTGACGGGAGCCCGTACGTCTAGAGATAGAGTTGTCGATTTGTACTTCGTATAATTTAGTTGCGCGGCAAGTCCTACGTATTAGGCAGAGTGTTGCGAGGGTGAAATTTCGGATACGCGGCAAGAACTCAGAGACGCGCACGTTAAATCATTTCACACTATTAAAATCCTATCATTTCTCTTTCTTTTAATCCGTTTGATCGCATATTTTTCGTATTAAATTCACTCGCGTTATTATTCTATTTTCCAAAATTGTAATCGTCTTGTGTTACGTCTTATTTAATTTTCATTCGCAATAAACGGCAAACGGGTGCGCGACAAGTGCTAGTGCGACATCCGCCTCTCATCTTTCTTGGTGTTCCAGATCTTACAGCGATTTTCAACGATTACATAGCGAACTGCAGAGCGATTTTTATCGTATATTATATTCTACAGTTTCACGGTAAGCCTGTTCAGTACTAATTTGTCGAGTACGGCATTATAATTGAATTTCGACAAGGCAAAACGGGCGATCTATTAAGCCTACGGGTTGTAAGAGTCTCTTCATTTTAGATCGTCTCGTTTCCACATTCAGGTACCGAATTATAATTTATTCGCTATATTAATATTCCGAATTTTGAACCATCGCGATTTTGCGTGTGACGATTGTTTCGACTACGATACTTTATCAGAGACGACCTGTAAAGCCTTTTCGTGGATTGCAAGAGCCTCTTCATTCAGGTCGTTACCTTGCGGATAGAAACCGCCAAAATCTTATTTTCCTATAATATTTGGTCGAGGCAGTCGTCTTACATTAAAAATTTCAATTTTAAATCCGTTTATAACTATATTGGAAAGTCTCATTGTAAAACAAAGGTTAAATATCTTTTCCGATTTCAATCACATTTATATTAAACCATAGGTTAAGCATCTTTACCCTTGTAAATCAGTATTGTCCTAATTTGAATTCATCTAATAGTAATTATCAGTATATAACAGAATTTAATTAGTATTCAAACAATAGTCATTTGGAATTCAGTTTTCTGTTACCTTCAATAGTTACTTTGAATTAAATTTACTTTCTTTTTGCACACTAAACGGTATTAACATTTTTTTCATTTACCATTCCTGTATCTTTCTATATTTCAAATCCACGCACCTCAACACA